TTTTTTTTTTTTTCAAACAATAGAGTGAAAATAGTAAGTTGACTTTGATAAATCTATATTTTTATTTATTATTTTTGGATATGATAGAAAAACTTTATAAAATAATAATAAGAAGAAAAGTTTTACAACCGAAGGACCGACCAGTAGTAGTACCGTGTGCCAGGGCACATTTTGCACGTGCTCTTGATCCCCCAAACTAGAAAATTAAGAGAGTGTAGTTCAGTTTCCTATTTTTCTTTTTTTATTTGAAAAATGAGACACATTACATAAATTAAAATATCATTCGTTATTTATATTAAAAAATAAAATAAAAATATCAAAATTCATAATTTTTCATTATCTATAAATAGAGACCACATTTGATAGGTTTTTTAACACAACTAAGTTTTCGTTTTTTCGTAATTATTTTATTATACTGACATATAATGAACATGTTACATAATAAGATGAATATGTTTTCAAATAAGATGAACATGTTACAAATTGCAGATTGAAAATAATACATATTCATCTTATTTTATAACATGTTCATCTTATTCTATAATCTGTTCATTTTATTATGTAACATGTTCATCTTGTTCTATAACATGTTCATTTTATTATGTATGTAACATGTTCAGCTTATTCTATAACATGTTCATTTTATTATGTAACGTGTTCATCTTACTCTATAACATGTTCGTTTTATTATGTAACATGTTCATCTTATTCTATAACATGTTCATTTTATTATGAATGTAACGTGTTCAGCTTATTCTATAACATGTTCATTTTATTATGTAACATGTTCATTTTATTCTATAACATGTTCATTTTATTATGTAACATGTTCATCTTATTTTAGAAAATGTTCATCTAAATTTCATCTGTGAAAATGTAACATTTTCATCTTATTCTATGACATGTTCATATTACTCTATAACATGTTCATCTTACTATGTAACATATTCATTTAATTATAGATTTCGTCATAATCTTCCAATAAGATAAATTAATTATAAAATATGATAAATTAATTGTGTTCCAAAAAATATTAAATGTAGTCTCTATTTGTAGAGAATGAAAAATTATGAATTTTGGTATTTTTATTTTTATTTTTTGATACAAAATATGAATGATAATTTAATTTATATAATATGATATATGAAATTTATTACCCAATAAAAATGGGACACATGTCCCATTTAAAAAAAAAAAACACTTTCCTCCTTATCTCTCACGCGCCTTTAGAGGAGATGTGTAACACCCCACTTTGATTTTAAAGAAATTCCGGACTTTCCAAAAATTAGAATAAAATTTTCGAAATTCGTTTTCGAAATCATGGGCGTTATTCAACTTTAAACATCAACCAAGTCATATCTGGTTGTTCACATGGTTTTCGTTAACCTTTCAAATCCCAACTTCACATTGCTAAACATTATAGCATGCACATGATATTCAATAAACAACTCATTAATGAATATCCAAACCAAACATAAGTTCTCAAAATACGTTTTGAAAGATAGTTCAAGTATCACAAATCACCACACATTATTCATAGCGGAAACATAATCATAATCAAACATAATCAAACATCGACCCACTCGTCATCCTCCGTCATCCGGCCCTGCTTAACCTGCATCCGTGAAGAGCAGGTGGGAGTGAGCACAAGAGAAAAATAGTGCTCACTACTATGCACATAAATAACATATGACAATGGTATGGTCGCAGCATGAATATAAGATAATCACATATTGTCTCATCTCCTATCAAATCACAACAACCACATTATCCTGTGCACATCTATCGCTAGCCGCAGAACGGGGATTCATTACCCGAAGGCGGGAGTACATGCCACGCTACGGACACGGCCTTCCATATGGGCTTACGTACCTCGCAAGGGCACGGCCATATCAGGACTTAAGGAGACTTGCCTCGCAAAGGCAACCGTATTACATCGACGGGGACAACCGTACCGACGGTCGTAACAGCTCACATCGATAGGCTACATATTTCATATTCATACATAGATCATACCCATAAGAAATAAACATCATTCATGCACATAGACAATTTTAGATTAAAACCCACCTGGTGCTGCAATCAGAGGAAATAGCACAGTCAAGAGTAGGCAGCGAGCGCGGCTCGTCAAACACCTACAACAATTATTACACTAAGATCAATACTTTTGACCTTAGAGGAACATACACAATCATACTTGGTCGAACTCGAGTCGACCAAGTCGTTCGTGAAGTTCTGTGGACTTTGGAACACTTGGATCTAATACTTAGACTTGATCAAAACACATAAAAATTAACATCTATAGACTTAGCACGTAAGACAAGACCAAACCAGTCAAAGACACACACATAAGGGTTGGAAAAATATATGGAAGGTAAGGGTCGGGCCCCGGGCTGCTCGTTGGCATGGTCGGGGCATGGCTGGTGCTGCTGGGCACGCACGGGCGCTGGCAGGTCGCGCATAGGCG